AGGTGCACTTGGGTGCCAGAAAAACAGGGGGGAATACCCCTGTACTTTGTTACTTTACACAGGCAACAGAGATGTAAATAATCATCAGAGAAACCCACTGTCCTCAAGATATTTCCAATTAATTTCAATAATCCTTCATTCAGCAAATAACCCAAAGGCACCTGAGACCAAGCTGTGAACAAGGGAATCTTGGTATAACGTGTCAGGTACCTCTCTCTCATATTCTGGCTTCTATGGAAGGTGCTTTCAGACAGTAAACTCAAGTTCAGGTCTAGTTCCCTGCAGCAGACAGTAGTGATGAATGTTTGATGTGTGAGGACAGGGACAATGTCTGCCCACAGGGATGAGGAAAGTTTCATGAAGGATCCCAAAGGACAAGTGGGATTCAGCAGATTGGGGCGGAGGGTAAGTTCATCACAAGATGGTCTGAAGCCTGAGAAGTTTCAGGAAGCGGCAACAGAGATGAAAACATAGGAAGGAGAGTAGCAAGAGGTGAGGCAGGCCGAAATCAGAAACACCCTGATCCACAGCCACATGAAGAAGCCTTGAAGTTTAACCACAGACAGGACGTGGAAGGCCACCAGAGGATTTAAACAGGGGAATGACATGTTCCTGATGAACCCTTTATGATAGAGAACTAATTTAAATCGTTTCCTAACACTTTCACATTTGGTTTTTAATTTATAGAACCAAAATACTGATGGGGATGTGACTTAAGGTCAAGTAACTTAAAAAAAAAAAAAAAAAAAAAAAAAAAGTTTATTTGAGAGACAGCAAGAGAGCACAAGCAGAGGGAGAGATGGGGGTGGGGGTGGAGAAGCAGGTTCCCCACAGAGCAGGAGCCTGATGAGGGGCTCAATCCCAGGACCCTGAGATCAGGACCTGAGCCAAAGGCAAATGCTTAACCAAATGAGCCACCCAGGCACCCAAGGTTTAAGTAACTTCTAACTCCGTTATCAACTGACTCCATTATGCATAAATTGGACTTTACCAAAATTAAGAACTTCTGTGCTTCAAAGGACACCTCAAGAAAGCAAAACGGCATCTCACAGAATCAGAGAAAAATTCTGTAAATCATACATCTGATAAGATATTACATAACTGGAATATATAAATAACTCATAACAATAAGAGGATAATCCAATTTAAAAATAAGAAAAGCATCTAAATATAAATAAAGATTTCTCCAGAGAAAATATTCAATTATCTGCTAATTACTTCAGAAGATGCAGGACATCATTTCCCATCAGGGAAATGCAAATCAAAACCACCATGATATACTGCTTCACACCCACTAGGATGGCTAGAGTCAAAAAGTAAGAGAGTAACACTGTTGACAAGAATGAGGAGAAACTGAAACCTTTATACAATGCTGGCGGAATTGTAAAATGATGCAGTTGCTTTGGAAAACAGTCTGGCAGTTCCTCTAACAGTTAAACACAGAGTAACCAATATGACCCAGCAAGTCCCAAGAGAAATTAAATCAAGTCCACATAGAAACTTGTACAAGAATGTTCATAGCAGCATTATGCATTACAGCCCAAAGGGGGAAAGACCCAAACAACCACCAACTAATGAATGGATAAACAAAATATGGTATATCCACACAGTGGAATATTACTCGACCATTAAAAAAATATAGTACTGATACATGCTAAAACATAAATAACCCTTGAAAACCCTTATACTTAATAAGAGACACAAAAGACCCCATATGAATTATCCCATTTATATGAAATGTCCAAATTATGCAAATCCAGAGAGAGAAAATAGATTCGTGGCTGCCTAGGACAGGGGAGGGAGGAGAACGGCAGGGCTGGAGGACCACTAATAGGTACAGGGTTTCTTTTTGGACTGATGAGCATGCTCTAAAACTACGGTGATGACTGCACAATTCTGTGACTATAATAAAAACCACTGAATTGTACACTTTAGACAGGTGAACTGTATGGTATGTGAACTATATCTCAAAAAGAAGTTACAAAACAAAAAAAGATTCTATTATGTATTACTGAAGTACAAATAAGCTCTCAAAAAGGAATAAAGAACTTTGTTCACTCATTTTAAAGGATCCAAACTAGGGCAAAGAAAACCCAGAGAGATTCTATTACTTAAGATTCTAGGTACTAGGTCATACTGAAATATTCATGAGGATTTCCATGTTTTAATACAGAAAAGACATCTTAAGTTGAAAAAGACAGAGAAGTACGAAAAAGAGTTTTTATAACTCAGAAACAGAGTAACACAGGGAAGTCACCATATGGAAAACAAACATGGATTTGTACCCTGCATAGGAAAGAGGCACCCAAATTTATTACTGTTCCACCTCTGAGAAAGTCAAAGGCGAAACAGCCCAGTTAATAATATCTGTTTCTAGGGGCAACTCGGTGGCTTACTCGGTTGAAAGTCTGCGTTCGGCTCAGATCATGATCCGGGGATCCAGGGATTGAGCCCCAAGTCTGGTTTCCTGCTTCGTGGGGAGCCTGCTTTACCCTCTGCCTGCTGCTTCCCCTGCATGTGCGCTCTCTCCCTCTTTTTTCTGACAAATAAATACAATCTTAAAAAAAAAAAAAAAAAAGTTTCTAAAGCACCAGTTTGTGACAAATCAAAGTATTAAATAATTTGCCATTCCAGTTACATAACTGAGAGCTGATAATTCATCCTTTTGAACATTCCATTTCACACACTGGAGTGATTCTCTTCCTCATGGTTGGAGTAGGTCCCAAAAGTGACAGGTGCATTAAACATAAAATGTAAATCAAAAAATCCAACAATGTTTAAAAAGTATTATGTGCCACCCTGAACCTAATCCTGAACTATGTAAAGTAATAGACATAAATGCTAATTGGCACAATCTGCAGGCAAAGTAACAAATGAACATGAAAAATTCAATACTGTGTGCAGTGTGAAAGCTCACTGCTATGTGTCTATTAAAATTCAATAGGCTTCAATGTACCTTCCACAAATAATCAAAAAATAAATATGGACAAGGCACATTCTGCATTTGTCAAAAAGGTGTGTACCCGACCTTTATACCAATCTTTGTTCAATCCTCAGTACACATGACTATCACCTACCACAAAACAGTGCATGTCATGGAAGCCTAACATTGAACAGAATTCCCAGTTTTATTTCACTTCCCCCCAAGTAGTTATGCAACCTCTCAGACCCAAGGGTTACTAACCAGACTTCACATCCAAACACTGTCTCTGAAGTGTATCTCCACTCAAAAAAATAAAAAATATAAAAAATGACTTTCCTTAAGTTAGTTTTCTTAAATATACAAAATCAAGGCCAAAACAGATTTTTCCCATTTCTTCAGTTTTACAGGGAATGCAGAAAGTGAAGATATATAAACAGATATCTACTTGCCTTCACAAATGAACAGACGGTACAAAGCAACTGCTTATACTTAATCATGTTTTTGTCTATTCTACCAGGCCCTGGTGTTAGGAGAGAATTCTGCCAGATAAGGACAATGAAATGCATTATTATATAGAGTGACTAAGAGCCCTACAAGTACTGTTTTAGAATGTAATCCCAGGCAGAATGGCTGCGGTAAAAGGGCCTAATATTTTGTAATAACTATTACCAAAAGTAAAGACATTGGCCACTCAATACCAGTTTAAAAACACTCACTACATCCAATTCTGTTTAAATGTCTTATAGGAAAGAAAGGCCTTTGTATCTTTCTATCCTGGGGGAGATGAACAACTTGCAATTTGCTTCTCACCCTGAATCCCACGTTAGCAACATGTAGAGCAAGTACTTGAGACGCCACAAAACAAGGGCAGCCTACATTAAGGCCAAATATAGGATGTGATTCTAAACCACGATGCAGTAAAGCCTACGTTTCCTTTTCCAGCGATCAAAACCCTTTGAACACTCCCAAAAAAGGACGGCAGGGCCAGCGCCTCCTTCCAAGAGGAAGCCCCTTTCTTCTCGGCTCTCCCTAGCAGCCTGCCACTTCCCCCAACACATTCAAATCATTTGAGAGACCGAGAGCTGGTGTGTGCGCGCCGGTGTGGACCGGCGGGAGGGAGAGCTGGGTTCCTGCATTTCCACCCTCTACATCTGACCTCATCCCCAGTCATTTAGGCGCAGCGGAGCCCCACCTGCACCTCGCTCCTTTTGACTGCGTCCCTCGCCAGCTGCTCCGCTATTAGGGGAGTACATCTCTGAATCACCCGGTTCACTCCGACGCTCCAGTCCCCCGACCCTGCCGCGTTCCGGCTCCGCTCTTCCTCTCCCAACAACCGCCCCCCCCCCCAGCCCGCCACTCCCCACCGCTCGGGTCCTCGCTCTCCCAAGCCGCCCCCGACCACATTACTCCAGTTTTAGCCGAGCCCTGCCCTTCCCGACCCCCGAGCTAGATCTTTAGGACCCGGAGCCGGCCTCGCACCCACAGCCAGCCACCCTCGGGCTAGACCGCCGCCCTCGCCCCTCCCACGCAGGGCCCCAGCTCGCCCGGGCCCCATGTGAGCCCGTCCCCTGGCCCCCCACCCACTCGCTCCCTGGGGCGACTCAAACCCCGCCCCCAGGCCCGGCGCCCCCCGACTCGGCGCCCTAACCCCGAACAGACCCTCACCACCCCAGACCCCACCCAGCCAGGCGGGTCCCCAATCCCTAAAACCCTTCCTCAGACAGCTCCTCCCCACCCGACCCGGGGTTGTTCACCCGGCCGGGAGGCGTCTGGACCCCCGAAAGCCGCCCCTGGGCAGCCTCCTCCCCACAGGGATCCCGGTTCACCCTCCCCAGGCCAAGCGGTTCCGTCCCGAACCTCCGGCAGCAGCCCCTGCTCCAACCCGCTGCACACCAGCCGTGGAGGAGGGGGCGGCCCAAGGGTCTGCGCCCCGCGCGCCCACTAGAGCCCACTCCCCTCCACTGGGCCCTGCTCCACGCCCCGCCGGCTCCTGTCAGCCGGCGCCGGCACATGCTGAGAGGACCTGTCGGCCCGCCAGCTCGCTCCCGAGCGGCCCCGCAAGGCGCGCGCTGCTCACCAGGGCCGAGATGCCTGAGGCGCCGCCGCCGAAGTCCCCGCTGCAAAGCCCAGCGAAGCCTCTAACCGCTGCCGCCTCCCGCCTGGCACTGAGCGCCGCGCGGGGGAGGGGCGCGGGCAGCCGCCGCCGCCACCGCCGCCGCACGCAGACCCCGCCCCCGCCCCGCCCCGCGCCGCGCCCAACCAAAGGGCCCTAGGGCTCGGCCCGTCACGCCCACTTCCGGGAGGGAAAGCCCACTTCCCACCCCTGGTTACACGCCCCACTCTCGTTAGCGCCCCCTCTGGTCGCGCCGAGGGATGCTGGTGGGCTGCGGAGGAAGGCGGTACTCAAGCACACGCACCGCCTACTAGTCAACAAGCCGGAGGGCCACGCCCATGGGCGCTCCCTAGCCACGCCCGCTGCCCCTCAGAACCGGGAGCTCCGCCCACTGGCCCGCCTCGGCTCTGTAGGGCCACATCCCCCGGATCCTCAAAGATTCTTCCAGACCCCCTCAAAACCGGAACATCAGCTCCCCTGAGCCCGCCCACTGCCCCATCCAAACCCTTAGCAAACCCTGGCTCTCTAAGCCCGCCTCCCCTCCCACTGCGTCCGAACTGGCCCAACGGTGCCACAAAACCCCGCCCCTCTGCTGGAAGCCCCACCCACGGACCCAACCCGATTCTCGGCATCACAAGCCCCGCCCACTGCCTATCTAAACCTTGAATCTCCAAGCCCCGCCCCGAATTCTCCAACTCCCGCCTTTGCGAGCCAAAGTTCCGCCCCCTCTCCCATCACACCCTCCTCCCACCACCACCTCTGGGGACTGCTAGCGCTCCACCCGTCCCTCCACTTTCCATGGTCGCATTCCTAGCACAGGCTGGCTGTCCCTGGGCTTGGCCACACCACTCCCCAAGGAGGTCCCGTCTTGACCCTATTTCGCAGGTGAGGAACAGGTTCTTCCCTTCTTTTGCCGGCCAAAGTCCCTTACCCATTTGCTCAGTAGCTGGGCCGCCCAGGCCAAAGAGCAGCTGATTCGAGTCCCAAACTTTGCTGCTATCAGACTGTGTCCTGTGTCAGTTCCCTTCACCTCTTCAGGCCAGAATTTCCTGATCTTTAGCGAAAACTTGTCCTGTTTTTCGTCAGAGCCCCTTTCAGAAATAACCAAGTTCGGAACTACCGAAATTTGGAACTGAACGAACAAAGCAGGCCTGCCGAGGGGTGGCTACTTCCCAAAGCAAGCATCTTCGCATTTTCCATCCTAAGCATTAGCCTCAGAAATATGTGTTAGGTAAATTATGGTCCATCCAAACCAAAAGAGGTATAACAGCAACTTACTGATCCTCTCTAGGCCTCAGTTTCTTCATCAGTAACATAGGGATTGTGGCGACCACTTCCGGAAGGATTCCGTGAGCTCAGTAACGCACTTAGCAGGCTGGCTAACTTGTGATGAGCCCTCAGCAAATGATGCTGCCACTGCAGGGCCTTGGCAAAGGGGTGGGGGGGGGGGGTCCTTTTGCCTTCAAGCAGCCACTCACAGGAGCACCCCTTCCACAGCAACTTACTAGCTGTTGCTGCTCATGTCATTTAAATGAGATGAAGTTGGGGAAGCACCCAGGCATTTGGTCATGCACAGAAACCATCGGCTGTTATCATGATTCCTATTTTTAGTGAAACAAGGGCATTGTTAGCAGCGGAGCTCTGAGTGATTTGGGTGGAAATGAAGGTTGATGCAAGTGCTTTGCGAAGGAACCGGGAACCAAACTAACTTACTCTTTGGGAACAGATCATTGCTTACATTGAACATCACTTATATTTGCCAGGCACTAAAGAGTGCTTTGAACACAAAATCTCCTGAAATTCCTCCAACAATCCAATGGCTACAAAAACAATTCTTTTTTCTTAATAACTCATTTATTAATTTGAGCAGACTCCCCACTGAGCATGTAGACGACGATTCAGGGCTCCATCCCAGGGACCCCAAAACCAGGACCTGAGGCAAAGGCAGATGCCTAACCGACTGAGCCACCAAGGTGTCCCTGCAGAAATGATTCTTAATCCCCATCTATAAAGGTGAAGAAAATAAGAAATTAATTGCTCAAGTTCACACAACTTGAGCCAGGCAGAGCTAAAGATAAAAGCCACATCCCTCTAATGGCAGAACTCTGGACCCACTGTGGGTTAGTCATTCCATTAAACTGCCTCTATGGCAGCAAGAAAGAATAGAAAAAACAGCGACTTTGGATCCTGGTGGCCTTGGCCTTAACTTCAAGCTCCCCTACGTACCCACCTCATGACCTTGGGCAAATCATTTTCCCCTCTCTGGCCTTACTCTCTTTATCTATATGGTGGGGTTCATCCAAATGCTTACTTCGGGGTGGGGTTTTAAAGATTCAAAGATCTAGATTCAGTGAATTAAGGCACAGCAAAGCATCCTGCACAGTGCCTGCCACACAGCAGATGTTTAAAACTTGTTGATTCACTTAGCCCAGTTTTCTCAATGATGAAATCAGAAGTAAAATTTTCCATGACGCCAGTTTCCCCCAGATGACAGTACCAGAGAGGACTGGACTACACTGAGAAAGAAAGTTCCTGAGGCCTTTGCCTTCCGGGTGCCTGTTTCAATTCCTAGTTTTATCCCTGGGTTGGGAGTAGTGATTCTTACACAAGAAACAAGGCCATCTCACCACCCCACCCCACACCTGCCCTGGATGTGGTCAGCTGAGAGCTGCTACTTCCAGAAAGAGCAGGAAGATTGTGCAACCCTTTGCCCGGAGAAAACCCAGCATCTCCCTGTTCTTGAATCCACAGCAAAGCCGCTGTGAGTCTGAAGGTAATCTTGGCTCTGCCTGAGCTGGCCCTTAAATGAAGGGACTCCAGTCCAAGGTGAGATGCTGGGTTTTAGAGTCTTTTGCCAGTAGTTTCTGAAATGACCTAAGACGTGTGCTAAATGAAGGGGAATTGAATGATCAGGAAAAATAAGAGTGATTCCGAATGCTACATGCCACAGGTGCGCCCCCGCTCATGTATGCAGAATAAAGGATTAGGAAGCCTGCGTTTGGAGCTCCTCAGCACTTCGTGTTTCTGGTTTCTCTTTGTACCAAATGGGGACATTAGTCTTGGGTTGCCCAGGCAACCTGGAAGCTGAGTGAATTAGCCCAGTGGAAGCATTAACAAATAATAATATTAAATACATGAGAGACTAGAAACCTCTAGAGTAATCTCAGCAGGCAAGACCCCTAATTGAGTGACAGAAGAGGACAAAGCTCAGAGAATATTAAAATCCATGCTACATCAATAAATCTCAATTCTTCCTGCTTTGAGTACCTGTCTGCAGACTAGGAGCTGGAAATGAGTGGCTACAGATGGATTGCCTTTTTTATTTTATTTTATTTTATTTTTTAAGATTTTAGAAAAGATTTTATTTATTTGACAGAGAGAGAGAGAGCGAGCACAGCAGGGGGAGCAGCAGGCAGAGGGAGAGAGAGAAGCATGCTTCCCACTGAGCAAGGAGCCCAGCGTGGGGCTCTATCCTAGGACCCCAGGACCACAACCAGAGCTAAAGGCAGACGTTCAGCGGACTGAGCCACCCAGGTGCCCCTGGATTGCCTTTTTTTTTAATTAAATTTTTTATTTTGAAATAACTGTAGATCATATGCAAGCGTAAGAAATAATACAAAGAGATCCTATGTACCCTTTACCCAGTTCCCCCCAGTGGTAACGTCTTATAAAATGATAGTACAGTATAACCCGGATGTTGACACTGATACAGTCAAGATACAGAACATCACCAAAACCACAAAATCACAGCCCCCGTTTCATGGCCCCACCCACTTCCTGCCTAACCACCTCCTCCTTAACTCCTGGCAAGCAACCACTCCTCTCTTCCCAATTTCTCTAATTCCATCATTTCAAGAATGACAAATGAAATGATATAGTATGCAACCTTTGGGGACTGTTGTTGTTGTTGTTGTTTTTCACTCAGTATAAATTCCTGGGGATGTACCTAGGTTGTTGCTCATATGAGTATTTGTTCGTTATTCCTTCTGAGTGGTATTCCATGGTATGGCTATTTCCCTGTTTAACTGTTCGTTACGTGAAGGACACCTGGGTTGTTTCCAGTTTGGAGCAGATTCTTACCCAAAAAGCTGCTATAAACACTATAGACATTTGTTCAGGTTTTTGTGTAAACATAAATTTTTATTTCTCTATGAAAAAAAATATTTGCCACATAGTACCATGGTTGGGTCGCATGATAATTGTATGTTTAGTATTTTAAGAAACTGCCGAACTATTCCCCAAAGTGGCTGTACCGTTTTATACCCCTATCAAACAGAAATCCAGGGGCGCCTCGGTGGCTCAGTGGGTTAAAGCCTCTGCCTTTGGCTCAGGTCATGAGTCCGGGGTCCTGGGATCAAGCCCCACATCAGGCTCTGCTCTGCCGGGAGCCTGCTTCCCTCTCTGTCTCTCTTTCTCTTTGCCTACTTGCAATCTCTGTCAAGTAAGTAAATAAAATCTTAAAAAAAAAAAAAAACCAAAACAGAAAACCATACACGATCCAGTTTCTCTCATCTTCACCAGCATTTGGTGTTGTCATTATTATTTATTTTAGCCGTTCTTATGGGTATATAATGGTATCTCATTGTGGTTTTAATTTGCATTTCTCCGGTGGGTAACAATGTTGAAATCTTTCATTTAAAAAAAAAAAAAAAAAAAAAAAAAAAAAAAGAGGGGTCCCTGGGTGGCTCAGTCATTAAGCATCTGCCTTCAGCTTGGGTCCTGATCCCAGCGTCCTGGGATTGAGCCCCACATTGGGCTCTCGGCTCAGCGGGGAGCCTGCTTCTCCCTCTCCCGCTTCCCCTGTTTGTGTTCCCTCCCTCGCTGTGTCTCTCTTTGTCAAATAAATAAATAAAATCTAAACCCCCCCCCACACACACACACGAGATTTTATTTATTTATTTTAAGAGAAAGCAAAAGAGCAAGCACAGAGGAGGGGGGACGAGTAGCAGAAGGAGAGAAACAGACTCCTTGCTGAGCATGGAGCCAGATGTGGGGTTTGATCTCATGACTCTGAGATAATGACCTGAGCCAAAACCGAGC